TTTTTTCATACCACCCTCATGTAATATACCTTATATTAATAAATATTACTATGGTTTGATAATTTAATAAATGTACTGTAAAGTATTATCTTATGCTTACCATGTCTGCATTTATATGATCAAAAATACAATAAAAACAATAATATTGAAATATTATTACAATTTAAAATAGCTGTTTTATATTTTAGAATGTTTAAAATGTTATTTATTCCTGTGGTGGCAAAAACTGAATTTTTTCAGCAACCATTACAACAGTCTTCAGTGTCACATTATTTTAATATTTTTATTTATTTGATTAATTTTAGTTTATTTATTTATCCATCCATCCATCCATCCTGCATATTTTTATTTGTGTTATGTAGGATTTAATGTATAGCTTACATAACACGAATATTGGCCCCATTTTGGATACATTTTTCCCACTTGTGGAAAATGACCACATTTTGAGTTTGGTTATCAGAAAAATGTCACAGAGAATTCAATATTAATGAAGGATTAGTAATTCCGTTAAATGAAGGAAAACATTATAGGGTTAAGGGTCTGAATACTTTTACAAGCATACAGAAAAAAAACTAAAACTATACGACCTCAGAGTTCAAGTGTGCCTTCTATACCATATACATTTGTCATGGGAATGAGTGGCATCTTTAGCTTTCAGCAAGCTCTGAGCATCACAGACATTAATGGAGCGAGTGTTTTAAAAGGTAGCATATAAGACTGATGATGTAGACTAAGAGCTAGCATACAATATTCTTTGGCAGATCCTTCTTGCGGCCTCCAGGGAGGGCAGTGTCGAGTGCTTGTAGAGCAGATATTTAAGGGGCACTGCCACGGTTGAAGAGTTAAAATTTTTCTCATATTCTATAAAGCCGGAGCCAAGGGAGTTGACTGAGGAAACGTGAAGTGTGTGTATGTGTGTGTGAAAGAGAGAAAGGGGGAAAGGGTGATCTAAAAAAGCAGGGCACACTGCGCCGGGATCAACACGTGTCTGCAAAAGCCTAGAGGTTCTGCAACAATCTGTTCCGCTTGGTTCACTGCAGTGCTGTTACTTCGATTTCTGGACTGCTGTTGAGAGGCTCCTTACACTCAAGCAGAGGACCGCCCTTCTCAATGCCACCCCACCTTAGCAAACATGAGAGTGTGTGTGTGTGTGTTTATGGACAGGGAGCTGCCTGTAAAGCTGTGCAGTTGGTGCTGGAAAGTGCTGCTCTCTCTGCCCCCCTGTCTAGGGTGGGATGAACATTTCTGCAGTTTGGCAGTGCTAAAAAATGACACTTTCAATTGGGGTCAATTGGACCACTGCCTCTGGATCTGAGATGGCAGCCATGACGAAGGGTAATCTCAGGATGAGGAAATAATTGGCTTTCTGGAGGAAGAGTCAGCCCAGGCAGTGGACATAGGAGAGGGCTGTGGAACAGTAGGGGTCAGTGAAAGTCCACAAAACCATTCCAAGTTTGTGTAAACCTGAGTGTAAGCTCCTACATATTTAGGTCTACTGATGCTGTGTGGATCACAGTGGATAGATATGTGGGGAAAAGATGAATTATGTTAAAACAAGCTCCTACTGCCTCACATCCAGCCATAAAACAACATATTTAATATTATTATCATCACAATTTTAGCTGTCATCTTCATCATTTTTACCATAGTCACTATGATGTTTATTAAGGATGCAAGTATCTGTAAACTATTAGTCGATATTGGTTATTTAATTGTCCATACAATTATTTTTTTTTATTTTACAATTTTTTACATATACAGTAGATTACCTTTGATGTCATCTGGCACTCTTTTAAAATCAGTCTTAAAGGGGTCCTATTATGCTCTTTTACAAAGTCTTGATTTTGTTTTGGGGGTGTACTAGAACAGGCTCTCATACTAGGTTGTTCGAAAAACCCATTATTTTTCACATATTTTACATTATTACAACACCTCTCTCCCCAGTCTGGCATGAACAGCTTGAATAGTTCCTGTATCAAATGAAGGCCCGCCTTCTGAAATACGAAATGTGCTGTGATTAGTTAGCTGGACCAGTGTGTGTTGTGATTGGCACCACTCGGCGCCTGGTCGGGAAATGTCATGCCCCTTACCATAGCCGCCCGCGAGCTTCAGTGTAAATATTGCGTCAAAATCAAATCAATTTGAGCGCGATTTAAACCCGGATGATTGTAACCACTATAAGTTCGTCTGCCTTGGGAAAGCTAGCGTGTCTCCAACATAGTGATAACACTCGAGTTGTTGCCTTCTCTAGTGCAGCTCGACCAGGTCCCATTCGTCGATATTTGTGATATCACAAATCCCAGAAAATATGCGTTGTAGTCCAAACGAGTTGTTCATTGTTGTTTTTGAAAAGTGATTTCTGTTAAATAAAATATCTTCTTTTGAAGTGAACTTTGAGCTTTGTAACTTTGCTGATCTTTTTTATGCTCAAACAGCAACATTACAGACTAACTAAAGTTGAAAAAGTGAAAAATCATAATAGGACCCCTTTAAGTTACATTTGCTGATATGAAAATTCAAGTAATTTTTTTTTTACCGGGTAGAATTTGTGGATATATTTTAGAATTAGTGCATCGCTAATGTTTTTCATAATAACTATATACATTACTATCTAAAATGACATTTTGAAGTGTGTATATATATATATATATATAGTCTTCTTGATAATATTACATAAAAATATACAAATTTGATATCAGTCATTAATCATTTGTCATTATTATTAAATGCACCACAATCTACACCAGTGGTTCCCAACCCTGGTCCTGGAGGCACCCCAACACTGCACATTTTGCATGTCTCCTTTCTCTGACACACCAATTTCAGGTCATGGAGTCTCTACTAACGAGCTGATGACCTGAATCAGGTGTGTTTGATTAAGGAGACATGCAAAGCGTGCAGTGTTGCGGTGCCTCCAGGACCAGGGTTGGGAACAACTGATCTATACTACAGTTTATTGTTCTAAATGTCATTCTGAAGCATTAAGCAACATTATTTCAATCATATATCTGGCAAGCTAATATGAATTCCCTCTATTACTCTTGTCTCACCTCCCTTTCTCCTTGCCTCTCTCTCCAATTTGCTCCAGACTAATTATGCTGGGGTTTATGGAGCATTTTTACCGCCCCGCTCCTGTACCTCCAAAGTGGTTTGCTAAAACAGTGGTGACATGGGGCTGTGGTAATTATCTAATTGTTTGAGCCATGTCTGTCTTTGATTTATGGTGTTGCATCAGAGCCTGACCTGATTTATAATGAGGTCCCCTCACTTGTGAAAATCTGAACCTGAATTATGTGGCACAAGCCCAATTATTTCTCTATGAGGTTTTGGTGGCTGTTGACATTGATGGTTTGCATTCTCAAACAGCTGCCTGCCCAGCTTTTGCCTAACCACAAACATATGATCCATCATGTTAGAACAGACCCACCTCTCTTCTCTCGCTTACATCAACGCAGAGCTGCAGACTCTATCGTTGCTCACTGCAAACAGCACCATATTTCTTCATCACCGCTGTGTTAAAGATGCTTGGTGCATTTTGCCATCATCTCTGGCATAGGGGCGCATAGGTTCCCCCTCCTCATCGGTTCCACCTGCCAGACTGAGACCGCCCGTCTTACTAATCTGTCTTTGGGGAGAAAGACAACAGGAGCCGGCAAAGGACGCAGCACCCCCGGGCCCCATAAATCCCGCCGGCTCCCGATTACCCAGTTCAGGCCACAAAGTCGAAGAACTGGGCATTAAGTGGAGCAAGTTGCTTGGCACCAAGGACAAAGCTGACAGGAAACATAAGGCCCCCACATGCGGCCCAGACATGAAGAATAGATCTGCTCGTGAGGACGTACGCTACACGGATGAGACGGACCCTCTCAAATTAGCACTGAGCAGGGTGACTGCCGCAATGCTGGCTGATGAAGAGACACGCAGCTGCCACTATTTTCACCGCTAAGGCATTCATCAAATTAATTACTGCTGCGCCCAACCACCTCTCTGATACCTCTTTATTTTGAGTCCTGTAAATGGGGCCTCAGACGAGTCCTGACAGGGAGCCCTAATACACACACTGCTTCTTCTCCAGCAACATAATTAATTGAAAACTTTGCTGTCTTGACAAATTGGAATGATGAATCTATCTTCTATGAATAGCTTAAGGAGAGAGAGAGAGCGGAGAAGAAAAAATGCATAATAAGTAAAAAATGTAGACGCAACATCTCTCTCGCTGGCTTTGCCATGTATTGAGAGCCATTAGGACCGAGAGGAGCCGTGGCGCTGCGAAAAGACTAACTCTCCTTCCGTCCACATCTCGATTGATAACTTTGGCTCTTCGATTTAATAGAGCGGTCAAGGTGGACCTGTTCTTCTGCATGGTTCAAGAGAAATAAAGAGAGGTAAGATCATTAATCATGCACTTGTACTGTTTTTTTTAAATGGTGGAATGTAGATGGATTCGTTTCTCCAGTGTCTCTCCAATTCTAACCATATTTATGGTTTACTTGATGCTGTTTCTTTGTTAAACATGCCTTTTATTAGACCTTATTATGTTCTGAAATAATTTTAAATGAACAAATAAAGACATCATAGTCAACACATAATACATTTATGTATGCAAATGTACCTTTCACAGGGTAATGAGGATGACATGACACCTTAAAAGCCATTTCAAGAAACACTGTAACACATCTCTTGATTAATTACATTGATATGTTAACTTACAGTATAAAGGCACTGGTGTTCCACAGAGTTGCAGTACATCCCCCAATCACCTTCACTTACTGAAGAGCAATAGAAATTGATAGGTGAGGTAATGACAAAATAAGTGAGCCATTCAAAGAGTCAGAGTCCATCAGTCCATCAAATACCATACTAATCATCATCATCATCATCATCATCATCATCATTCATTTATTTTTATTTGTATTATTATTACTATTACTATTATAATTTTTATTATTATTATTATAATTTGAAATTTGGGATCTCGATTAGGAACGTCTTGGTTACATATGGTAACGTCTCTAGGTTACGTATGTAACCATGGTTCCCCGAGGGAACGAGACGCTGCGTCGAAGTCGCTTTGGGAACGCTCCCTCCTGCGTGACCGCGTTCTGAAGCACGTGTCAAATCAGTCCAGTGGAGTAGCAAGACGTCACGAGCGGGGTGACATAAGCACCAGAAAGTATAAAAGCGCATCCGGCAGAATGCAAACCAGCTTCGATGAAGTAGCGCCTGGAGGGATGCAGGGAGTATGGCAAAGAGACCCAGCATCTCCTTCTCTCAGGGAACCATGGTTATATATTATTATATTATATTATCCAAGGTTTCTAGCTGTTTTTGAAGGAGTTATGGTTGATGAGCTTAACTGTATGGTAAAATTCTGATAAAGTGATGGGTTTGTTGAAACCACAAGCAGTTCTGTCTTAGCCAGGTTGAGTTGAAGGTGATGGTCCGTCATCCAACAAGAAATGTCTGTTAGACATGCTGAAATGCGAGCAGCTATCGTCGGATCATCAGGATGGAATGAGAGGTAGAGTTGAAAAACACCAGTGTGAAGGGATGTGTTAACGATGTGAGTGAGTGCAGGTACAACGGCAGGAGAAATAGCTTGAAGGAGATGAGATGGAATAGGATCATTTCGTCCTATAAATTCAGCGCCAGTTCAAACTATACACATACTACAATGTGCATATCATTCATAGACTCATTCAATAATGCTCTGTGTGTGGTGGTAAAATCCCTTGCTGACTATGCAGACAGATTCTGTGTTCTTTTTTTTGTTGTGTGGTTATGAGCAATGTTTCCACACATGCATATACTTTGTCATGCATTCCACAGGCCAATTCAGTGATGATAAGAGTTTTGTCCTGATACTAGAAGTCTGTGGAGAGTGTTCACTCTTAAACCCCAGACAGAACTGCTAGTCTCCCGGCCGGATGCTTCCACAAAAATGGGAACATAAATGTTACATACGTAACCTAGAGACGTTCCCCTTCAGGAACTCGAGCTGCGTCTAAGTTGCTTTGGGAATGAGAATACCCACTGCGCCATACTACCAAGTCCCTGCCTGTGAGAGTATCTTGCGAGCACATCACGAAGAGAGAACTTGGGAACCTGGGGTACATGCCAGGTCTAGGTTGTAAAAATGGACAAAAGTGTGCGGAGAGGACCAGCCCGCCGCAGCACAAATGTCCTGCAAGGCCACACCCAATTTGAAAGCCTTGGAGGCCGCCATACTCCTGGTCGAGTGTGCCCTGACCCCCATAGGTGACGGGAGGCCAGAGGACTCGTAGGCTAATGAGATGGCCTCGACCACCCACCTACTCATGGTCTGCTTGGTCGCCGGAGATCCTTTCTTTGGCGGACCAAAACAAACAATTAGCTGATCTGTCTTATGTCACGGGGCAGATCTGTGTGCGTAAGCGTCCAGTGTTCGAACTGACACTTGGAAAGAGCAGATTAAGCATTTCTTGGCCTACTTCCTGGAACAGAGGAGGACAGAATGCCTGAAGTACTATGGGCCCTGGTGATGAAGTGGGCACCTTAGGGACATACCCGGCCCTCGGTTAAAGGAATGCCCTAACCATGCCTGGAGCAAATTCCAGGCATGAAACAGAAAGTGCCTGAAGATCCCCGATCCTTTTTAGAGAGGAAAAGGCAAACAGGTCTACCTGAGTGGCTCTGAAACGTCTCCAAACCAGCTGGACCGTCTGGGGATGGAGTCGCCATTCTCCCGGGAGCGCAGCTCGAGATAGTTCGTCGGCTGCCCGGTTGAGCAGCCCAGGAATGTGAACAGCACAAAGCGACCTCAGATGCTTCTGACTCCAGTGGAGGAGGTGGCGGGCGAGTTGCGAAATGCGACGGGAGCGCAGACCACCTTGTCATTTGATGTACGCAGCGGTCGCCGTGTTGTCCCGGACTAGTACATGCTTGCCTCGTAAGCTCCCTTTGAGACGGCTCAAGGCAAGGTGCACTGCCAGCAACTCTGAGGCAGTTGATGTGCCAGTGCAGTTTTGGGCCCCGTCCAAACCCCTGACACTGCAAGCCCGTTGTACGTGGCCCCCCAGGCGGTGGTTGAGGCATCCGCGTAAACCACAGTATTTCTGAAGACCTGTTCTAGGGGCACTCCTGCCCGGAGAACCGCAAAGTCTGACCACAGGGTGAAGGTTTGGTGGCAGGCCGGTGTCACTTGGACCCGGTGAGTGCCGTGTTGCCATGCCCACCTCGGGACTTGGCCATGGAGCCAGTGCCGAAGCGGTCTCACCCTTCCAATGACACCAGCTGCACGCCGGGGCAGGATGTACCTGATGGCCTCAGTCTGCTTTGGTCAGCGGAGAACTGCTGGGCAAGTTCTCCACCGTGTCGCCAAAAAGGCCGGCCTGGGACACGGGGGCATTCAAGAATCATGTCTTGTCCGTCTCGCGCATGTCAGCCAGTCACAGCCAGAAATGGCGCTCCTGGACCACCATAGTGGACATTGCACGACCCAGAGACTGCGCTGTAACCTTCGTCGCTCGTAGCGCGAGGTCCGCCATGGTGCGGAGTTCTCTGCGAATTTCCGGGTCGTGACCACCCTCGTCCAAGTCCCTCAGTGCCTTGGCCTGGTGCACTTGCAATCACGCCGTAGCGTGTAAGGCGGAGGCAGCTTCTCCACAGGTCGTATAAGCATCACTGGCCAGTCGAGTACCTACAGACCCGGGAGGGGAGGCACGGTTCTCCCTGCCGGTTGGAGGCGGTATTAGGACACAAATCATCCTCATGTGAGGAAGGAGGAACCAGCAGATCGGTTTCCGGCAGTAAAAGGTGCCGTCCACGACCTGTTGAGTTCCTCATGCACCTTCGGGAAGAAAGGCCAAAGGCGGGGTGCTGAGAACCAGCGCTGACCACCCCGAGAACCAATCGTACAACCTTGAGGGCTCGGGACACGTTGGGAGTCTCCACTCGAGTCCTACCCCTACGGCGGCCTGGAAAGCATAGCCATTATTTCTGGATCCGATTCAGGCATTGCTACAGTCCCGGAGGAGAGGAGAGCAGCGCAGCCGAATCTTTCGCTCCAGAAAGCTCTGGCTCACCCTCCGATGCAGCAATCGACATCTGGTCGTTGGGAGGAGCGCCAAAGGATACGGCTGGTACTCTCTTGTAGAGGGCCCAGCATGTTCCATTTGCAGCTCAACTGGCTGCGGAGTGCCTCAGACCGCCCGCGCTCCTGCCTGAAGTACCCCCCCCCCCCGGCTGCCGCCATGAGGAGAACTAGATCAAGGCAGCGGCAACGGAACTCTTCCCCTTGAGGAAACGGAGCTTGGCCCACGACTCTGAGATGATCATCTTCCCGCAATGAGAAGATGACTCATCCACAAACGCCACCTCAGCGTGCTACATGCCCAGGCACGTGAGGCAGCGATCGTGACCATCACCCAGCGCCAGGTAATGACCACATCCAGAAACACCCGGGTGATACGTTGTCTATAACAAAACCCACATCATCTTTACAAAGACGTAACGTCAAGTTTGCCACACAACGTCGTCTTTAAAAAGACGCACCCGAAATTGCTCTTTTAGGGAAAAAGCTCTTTTAGCGTGCTGAGGCGTACAGGGGAGATGATCATCTGCAACACAAACAGGGGGTAGTGCACGGGAAACCACGGGAAACCACCACCACTGAAGCGCCGTACCACCAACACGAAGAGCTCTCCAAGAGCGCGCTGAACTCATTCAGTCTTCTTCTCTCAGTAGAGTAATCAGGAGCAGAACAATGTGATCACTCGGCTACAAAGCAAAAAGCTGAATATGCGCTGCATCTGCTGCCTACTTATACTCACGCTGTGATCAGCGGCAGCTGGATGCAATAATCGCATTTAGTTTACACTCAAAGTAGATTGGTCTCTCTAAGCGAGATCCCAATTCGTCGGTCATCCGACGTGACATCGAGAGTGACCGACTGAAAGGGAACTTATGATCCCATTGGCTTAAATAACTTTTAATGGGTACTCTCTGTAGGCTTAATCACAATTCCTACAAAATCACATTTATTAAATTTAATATTTAAATGTAATTAAAAGTGTAAAATGTCCACATATTTCAGTTACTAAAAAAACTAAGTTTTGATATTCAATGAATTATTTATTATTATAATTTATTAACTGTTTATCAAGTGGAAAAATGATATTGTCTGATTTGTTTTATTTACTATATGTGAGCCTGGCCCACAAAACCAGTCTTAAGTCGCTGGGGTATATTTGTAGCAATAGCCAAAAATACATTGTATGGGTCAAAATTATTGATTTTTCTTTTATGCCAAAAGTCATTAGGATATTAAGTAAAGATCATGTTCCATGAAGATATTTTGTAAATTTCCTACTGTAAATACATTAAAACTTATAATATGTGCTGCTGAGAACTTCATTTGGGCAACTTTAAAGGCGATTTTCTCAATATTTAGATTTTTTTTGCACCCTCAGGTTCCAGATTTTCAAATAGTTGTATCTCGACCAAATATTGTCCTTTCATAACATCAATGAAAATCTTATTTATTCAGCTTTCAGATGATGTATAAATCTCAATTTCTGAAAATTGACCCTTATGACTGGTTTTGTGGTCCAGGGTCACATATAGTAAGCGATTATATACATATTTTATATTAATGTTGTTACCCAATTTCTTACAAAACCGGACCTTCGTTTACATGGTGTAAACATGCAAAGACAATTCACAGAAGCTTATAAACCTAACTCGTAAACCTAAAAAATAATTTAGATTTTCAGCAGAGTGAATCTGGGTGAAGCAAGACTTTTTTAATACTAGTTTTCGATGTACTTGCTCAATAATGGAATTTTGTTAATTTATACAGCACTTAAAAAAAAAAGTATAAATACCTCATTAATGCCTTAATATTAGCTACATGTTAGTTTTGTAACATACTGTAACACATTTAATGACTGGACTGTCACAGAGAGTCTTGTGAGAATATTCAGATGGATTTAGAGGACGTGTGACCAAAGTGGACAGCAGCCTACATTGCAGTATAAAGGATGAGCAGGAGGATGGAGGTGAATTATTAAAGCAAAGAGGCACTTAAACTGCTGTGTGTAGGAAAGTCACAATCCCCAAACAACTCCATGGCGCTGGGTTTATACGAAAGGGATGTAGAGCCCCTTACATGCTTGTTTAGTAAAATATCTTTTCTAATCTGATCATTTTTAACCAGAAATAATGTACTGTATTTTTTTTTATCCCAAGATCATGTAATTTTATCCCAAAGTCATAGAGTTAGTTTTGTAACATACTGTAACACATTTAATGACTGGACTGTCACAGAGAGTCTTGTGAGAATATTCAGATGGATTTAGAGGACGTGTGACCAAAGTGGACAGCAGCCTACATTGCAGTATAAAGGATGAGCAGGAGGATGGAGGTGAATTATTAAAGCAAAGAGGCACTTAAACTGCTGTGTGTAGGAAAGTCACAATCCCCAAACAACTCCATGGCGCTGGGTTTATACGAAAGGGATGTAGAGCCCCTTACATGCTTGTTTAGTAAAATATCTTTTCTAATCTGATAATTTTTAACCAGAAATAATGTACTGTATTTTTTTTTATCCCAAGATCATGTAATTTTATCCCAAAGTCATAGAAAAAAGCTTAATTCTAAACTATATGAAAATTAAAGCAACAAAAGTTCAGCCGAAGTGACATTAGATCTATCTTGTGTAAGCTATGCATTTATATACATGTGCACTATGTCTTTGGTATTTGCTTTTGTGGTATTCCTCACAGGCATATGCATGTGTTTGTGACCAATCATATATGTCTATGCAGGAAAATATGAGAAGGTTGCAGATGTGAAGGACACACCTTTTCCATGGTAAGTAGTCATCCTTAATAGGTAGAAGCCTGTTTGTGAAATATGAGAGGCAAACTGGTATGTGACATTACTGTCATCCCCAGGGAGGCCGGCAGACTGATTTCAGTTCAGAGAGAACCTAGACAGGACTACAGAACTAAATAAAGTCTCAGATGGATGGAACTGGACTCCCACTAGAAAACCTGCAAGACAATGAGATTCCCTGTGCCCTCTGAGAAATGTTTACACGCTCTTCCAACATGTACTGTATGCATACACACTTATGAAATATATACAGCACTACCCTTTTGTGACTGTGTAGTATTAGGGATATAAATAAAGTGATTGAAATGATTATGTTCTGAAGACTTATTAATTTGCTATATTGTTTGAAGGTGCTTTATTGTATTAAATCTAATGTAATTATCATCTATAATCACATATTTTAATGTAAAATGCAAAAAAAAAATTCCTAAAAAGTTGTTTAGAGTATGACTATCTTTATTCTCTTAGCATTTTATAGCAATATACAATTGCATTACATGTAATGTATTGTATATTTCATTCTAATATAATTAGAATCGATTTTAATATGAGGATGATTGGAGAAGATTTTTAATGTGGCACTGTATCGTTGAGTTCTTTCCAGGCAGGCCTCATTTTCATGGGCTAAATCTCCTGGTTATTTGTGTGTCATATTACTAGCTCTGGGACCAAGTGAAATCCTTTTTATTCCTTTTTTTTGCCCAAAGCAATCATTGCATTGCTTTTGCATTAACTGGAAAATATTTATTCCTCATAATATCAATGCTAAAATACTCCAGGAGATAGGAAAAATAATAAATTGGAGGAAAATCTTGTTAACAGGGATGAGTTGGGTTTTACATGAACACAAATGGATATTTTCTGAGACTATGTTTGATGAGTCTTGAACACGTTATGTTATTTTATATTTTAATTTATTTTTTCTTATATTTTTTATTTTATTTTATAGATGTTTTTGATGGTATAATGCAGTGTCAATTTTCAAAAATAGTGCTTTGTTTTTTATCCTTACCATCATACATTTATATAAAAAGACTGATATACAAAAAGTGAAAAATGGCAATAAAAATGGCAAAAAAGATAATATCAAATAATACATTATAATTATTATTATTATTATTATTATTATTGGAGATTAAGAATTAAAACAGAAAACTAAATTAATTATTCATTTTCACTCTCCTGAGCTCATTTACTGTGTTTCACTGGCAGTTCCCCTCAGGTCTCTTGTTAAGCTGCTTTCAGTCTCATTAGAAATCTTCTGAATTTCAGATGAAGCAATGATCCAAAAGCTCTGGAAAACAGACCAGATGAAACATAGGTTCACCCACCTGCCTTTTCATTAAAATGTGGGTGACTGTCATCTCAAAGTGCATTGCTTAGCCTTAATCTGCCTGCTTGAGCAAGAGCACTATACTTTTTCACACACCAAATTATATACTATTCCATGTAAATTTAAGCATCTGAGGCCCTGTAGCTTAGAGCGCTGCAGAACAGGGGGGTGCTGGGTTCATAAATGAATAAGAATCTCCAAATGAGTTTGCTGACCTCTTAAACTCCATGAAATTAATATAAGCAGACATCCTGGATGCTGCAGGGCTGCTGCTGAGCCGGGGGAAGATCACTTAAGCTCTCAGAGTTTCCT